TCTGCCAAAAATTGATCTGCAGTATAAATAAATTAATCAAAGCAGTGTATTATTATCTTCAATGTAAACGCGTGACGGAATGTTGAAATCGAAAGAACTCGTTAAGTCGTGTCACGAGATCCAATTGTTGACATATTTTTTTTCATCTTTCGATTCACAATGACAGGCATTGTAAACTCGTGCGCATGACGTCACTCTTTAAAATTTATGAATGAAATTTACTGAAAAGCTAACACGCCAGCGCCAGCGACTCGTTCGTAGTCGTTTGAGGCAGAAAATCTGACCCATATCCTTTCAAAATCTGAAAACCAAAGCCAATAGTCGGAGAATGTTTTAAGATACATGCTATGGGTGGTTGCAAGTTCAACTTTCGACACTGGCTTTTTTCATTTTGCAGGAGATTTTCTGCCAAAAATTGATCTGCAGTATAAATAAATTAATCAAAGCAGTGTATTATTATCTCCAATGTATTAACGCGTGACGGAATGTTGAAATCGCAAGAACTCGTTAAGTCGTGTCACGAGATCCATTGTTGACATATCTTTTTTTCATCTTTCGATTCACAATGAAAGGCATTGTAAACTCGTGCGCATGACGTCAATCTTTAAAATTTATGAATGAAATTTACTGAAAGCTAACACGCTATATAGCGACTCGTGCGAAGTCGTTTGAGGCAGAAAATCTGACCCATATCCTTTCAAAATCTGAAAACCAAAGCCAATATTCGATGAATGTTCTTTAGTTACTTGCTATGGGTGGTTTGCAAGTTCAACTTTGGAAAATGGCTTTTTTTATTTTGCAGGGGATATTCGCAAATTGCAGTGTCTTGTGCAATAGGTCTTGTGCGGATCTTAACAATTAAACAAAAAGCCGAATTCTGTTTTATGTTGATCAAAAAGAATCGGTGTCGTTCTTTGGTGAAATAAGTTTCTTAACCCCAACAGTCCTTTATCCTCCCATTTGAAAATGGTATTTCACACATCGTAGGGAGGTAGAGTTAAAAGAGTAATTTGAATAATACAAGTTCAAAAGGTTTATTTTTTAGAACGAAAAAGATTTATCTACAAAATTTCAGTAGATTTTATTTCAGCAAATGGAAATTACACATTACTGTAACTGTATACTGGTGATATAGTGCATGGGGAGTTGGTCTCTATCTGAAAAGAAACTTGTATACATTTCTGAACTCGCATGTATTTTCAAGTATTTTTTTCAAGTACGATTCTACTGTCATTTTTCCCCGTGATGACGGCAAAGCTGGCAATTAATGAAGAGAATAAACTGACATGATTTAATTCATCTCGAACATGGCGTCTTTGTTTCTGTGGAGTTATGCGACATGATGTCATCCTGATAAAATAAAAGTCGCCAAGATAGTTTGGCCAACTTGTCGTGTATTATACTTTACGGTAAAAGTTTGCATTTTTATAGATTGATGTGAATTTAACGGCGTCTATTTCAAGACACATTTAAAGGCACGTGGGATCATTATACAGAATGTTTCCAAAAGGTATCATACCGAATCATTGTCAAAAACTTACTTGGAGTTGAAGACCGTACAATAAACACCCCATGCAATTGTTCCGTCTGGCTTGCTGTCTTGTAGAAGAAATTAAGAAGTGTAGGTGATTTCCAATGATCAGTCAATTGACTGGCTTTTGGAATAATGAGTGCTTTTGATGAAAAGGTTTGTGCATAGTTTTCATTGTTTGCTCGAAAAGTGTAATATCCACTCAGATGATTCTTCAACGGGTTAGGTTTTGACACTCTTCTGACATTCTGAGTGGTGTTATAATTGGAAACAAACAAAATGCGTCAAAAGCAAATGATCTTGTATACCTTTAAACCCATCAAGACGACGGTGACGTATTGCCTAGGTTAACCCTAAGAGCAGTCACCGTGTTCTGTTATGCATCCTGCTGCGACCAGCCTTGCTCCTTGTCCCTAAGATGGCACGTTCAAGGCATCAATTTGTCACCATCAGAATAGGGTCAGCTGTATTGGACTGACATTACTTTCAAAGATTGTGATGGTTCTCAGCTCATACTGAACAACATGTACATATAGATATTTTTCGTACTTTGACAGTGCATACCTGACATGATACGCTATTGCTAATCATGCTTATAATACTCATGACATTGTATGACCTAAATTGCACGGGTAACGATTACAAGATGGACTTCTTATTATAGATGGATTGCATTCAGCGGCCATCTTAGAGGTGTGTCTTGGTAGGTTAATTCATTAACAATGAATGCACATGGTGTTGAATTGAATGCACATGGTGTCGAACTTGTGCTGTCCCTGTTGAGCAAAAGCACTTACCTTAAAGATGGCTGAAATGCAAACGGTCTATTGGGAAGTAGGGTTCGTTTGTAGAGAAGACCTAATTTGTTTTACATGTATTTTATTTTATTCTATTCTAGTTTATTACAGTGAAGCACAAGGGCGGATCCAGGTGACGTCACAATAAAGGCAGGCACTGCGTACACCACTATCTTTTCCTCAAAAAAAATTTGTCAAAGTGGTCAGAAATTGCCTCAGATCGAACCACAGAGCATCTATAGAATCCAAACAAAATTCGGGGCCTTTAATTAAGCGGGCCCCGAACCCCACGCCGTAATTTTTGGACCCACTTTTTGGGGGACCAATTTTTTTTTTGGCCCCCCCAACAAAAATTTGTGTTCTGGATCCGCCCTTGGTGAAGCAGAGAAGAAATTCTCGTTTTAAAAACACCGACAGGGAGTTTCACTTAACCTGGCAGCTATGGAAGTTGTTTCCCTTTCCAAAACTGTCCTTAAACATACATGCATTGAAACTGGAGCTGTATATATCGACAAGTGGAACATATTAATATTATTGTATGGAAATACATCTCCTTAAGTTAAAGTGATACTATAAACCAGAAACACTCCCGAAAGCGATAACACCCAAGTTGTTTATTTATCATATTCATATATCATGTATAGATCGACACATAATTATTTTAGCTTTCCTTCCCTTGCAGTTTCATTTACACGCAAGTTTATGGAAATGGCCATATAAGGTTACCATGTGACAACGATGCAGTCTTACTATATAGCATCTGCTGCTTGTATACAATATCGATACGGAATGCAAGATGCGTATTCAATGTGTGGCAATACCAATTATGTATATTATTATCAAACCTTTGGCATTCCTTTCAAGCGATAAGCGTCGGTGTGCTGCATGAAAAAGAAAAATCGGCACATAAATAGCTTTCCAGAAGTATTCTGGAAAAGCTGTAAAAAAAAGTTGTAGAAAGCTACTCGAGAAAACTATTTGGAAAGCCGTTATTTTTTTGGCCGACTTTTCATTTTCGTTTTTTTTCCCTTGTTCCATCGTTGTTGTTATTTCTTGTTCTTTGAAATAACAAACAAATGAACCAACATTGTTGAAAGGAAGTGACGAATGTGGAAATAATATAGAACGTCATCCTTTGAATCCTATGCTTCCCAGAATTGTTCTTGTTTGTTTAATCAGTGGATCGGCAGATTTTTTTCTGCCTCTACTTCTATATTTTTGCCTCTACTTCTAAAAGTACATCATGTACAAACCGTACTCTATTGAGAACTAAAGGGAAGTACATGTACATCAAAACAGTGCTCTATATCAGTGTATTACAACTCTACATGTACTTAATGTTTAATATCTTTTATCCATTGTGAGTTTTCAATCTTACATCTGTTAAACTTATACCAGACGGTTGTTGTCGATTCTTATCATTAATGATTAACGTATACGTCTGTCCTTAATGACCATTAAGTCAATAATTATTTACACGAGCTGGACCGGCGGCGGAAATGTACAGTCAAACCGAAAACTTAAAGAGAATCGTTTATGACGTAGGCTTGAAAACCAGAGAGGAAATCGTACTATATGAATCCGATTCTGATAATAAAATCTGTGAGCTCTGGGATATCGTGAAGAGGCCTTGCCTCAATGGATTAAAACCGTAGCTGAACCAACATAAAAATTGCTTTCAGTTTGGACTTGAGTACCCATTTCAATGCATGTGACGGCCGTTTCATGTTGATGCAAAAGGAAACGATTTTGAATACGAAGACTTGTTGTTTGCACTAAGTACTACCACGGTACTACACAGGGTGTGGTGACGGGAGGGGGTTCCCATGCCAACGGATGTAACCCCTTTCTCAACGGCAAAGACTGGCTACCAAACTACCCGTGCTCCAAAATTTCAGTTAAAAATCGTTGCCTCAAAAAACCACAGCGAACACATTTCTTTGTAAAGTTGTCTTAGATTTTACCGTGATAAAAGTCGAAGTGATAGAGCGTACATTTCAGTGTGCTTTGTGCCTTAAATATATATATTACTGTTACTTTATTGGGAACAATATTTGGGTTGAATCTAGTGGGTTTTGAAAGAAGAAAGATCAACACTCTATAGTCGGGCTCCCACGGATTTGTTTAAAAAGTGAAAGTGCAGCTTTTCACAAGGGGGAAGATGCCAAAAATACATATGGGACCGGAGCTGGCAAGTAAACTTCCTGAACTACTGTCCCCTCCCACAAGACACGGAACGGTAATCCCCCGTTGCTGTTTTTCAAAACATGGACTCTCTACTCCGACTCTTGCAGGGGTCTTACGATCAAAACAAGACTTCATCAGCATTACCCGCAACATTCTGAAAGGCCTTGCACAGGTTTGACACTTGCTGGCACGTTGTCAAGAGCTGTAGAGGCTGCCGTACGGGGTTCTGTAATTCGCTCCGCCTTAAAAATAAAAATGACGGGATGTGAAATTGCTGGAAGAACACTTACGCTGTTGTGTTGCCCACAAATTAAACCCATTTGGCCGATGACTAACACATCCGCATTACCCAACAACCTCCCAATACTCCCTGGTAAATTATGCCATTTTTTTGCTCCTAAACATCTGTAGGTAATGTTCCACTCCTGACACTGCGGCCCACTTTTTCCCACCTGACTTGTTATCAGAACGGCATGTCCTCCAAAACGTGCCCTGACGTCATGTGGAAATATGAAACAGCCGTCGTGTGATTGAACGCACGCCCAAGAATCCACACTGCACATGACATGACACAAAGCCCGTGTTGAATGCGTGGAGCACGTGCGCGGTTGTCTGGCTGGTAATAAATCCGTTGTCAACAGCGGCAGCATCATTTACGCGTTGTGGGTGCTGCTGTGTGTGGTTCTCGGCATCTCCGGATAGCATCCCTTCCGCGGTTCGTTGTCCTCCCTTCAGTGCCATCCTCGTCTTCTCACCGTGAACACGGCAAACAACTCGACCTACCCCCAAGCTCCCAGACTCCACAGAGAGTTTAGAGAGAACACTCACACGGTGTATAAATACCTTCAAGATGGAGTCTGATGTGGGTCTCTTCCAGGCGTTGTTCTTCACCTCTCTGACGGTGAATCTGTGCAGCTGGCTGCATTTTGGTCTCTTCGCTCTGATGGACAAGCTCGTGGCTCCGGAGACCCACAACAAAGTCACTAAACTACGGCTTGCTCACAAACACAATGCAGCCTTCATGAGAAACTTGTGAGTATAATAAAGCATCTTCACAGTAACTTAATTAATGCGGTATTTAATTTGCTCAACTGGGAACCGTATATGGTTATCGGAAACAATACCTTACCCGATAAATTCCCGATAGTCTTTACGCTTAAAAGTGAGCGTTTGATCAACATAATTATTAAGTATTTGGTTCATATAACACAGAATAATCCGATAAAACACAAACGGTAAGTTACTTGGATCCCATTTTAATCAATGTAAGGTTCATCAAAGAATTTGGCCGGTCAAGTTCTTTGTTCAATCTTAACTAATAAATATGTCATCACATGATGTAGCACCCCATCCTATTATTTATAAATTAACTTAATGAAATTAGTGAATATCCAATTTAGTGAGATGAGTTGCTTGGATTTATTGGAAGCTTCTATCTTTATATATTTTTTGTTCAAGTAAGACTTTCTTTCCGTCATCAAAATTACTTCATAAAAACGCATAATCGTGGTCACTGCTTGTTCATGCTGATTTGATGTGCCGGTACTGTGCGTTTATGAAGAACCAATGTACTATATGTAATGGCATAAAATCTGTACAATTTTTTTGACGGATACTGAAATAGTTTGGAAATATTTGAAAATATATTTCTAAAATATTTGGTAACACTTTGGACTAAGTGAAGATCGAATGTACATGAAAATTAGGTTTACAGTAACTTCAAAATGTCAGTGTTCTAGGCCTATGTATTTTTATCGCACATTTTTATATCCTCAATTCAAAAAGAAGCAAATTGTGTTCTTCGTGACCTTAAAGTGGCGTACTCGGGGGAATCACCGTCCCGCAAGGGTCCGTGGATGGAAATAGAACGGGAATTCCAGAAATGTCCGCGAAGAAATGATCGTGGCGGGAACTTATGGAGATGTGGAATGTGGTCTCTCCTGTTGCAAGCAAAACACACGAAATAACCGGGAAACTGGGGGATTTTGCACCGCTGTAACGTTGAGCAATTTCCTTGGGATTTCTTTTTCTGTGAAAAAAATCCCCGTGAACGTTGAGCAACGTGAGATATATGGCTGCAGTACATGTGCAAGCATGTGACCCATGGGTTCGGATGCAGCCATGAACCTGGCATACTTTTTTTTTGTGTTACAAAAAAATGTTGCATGCCCTCAGTGATTGTACTGCTTGATAAAGCATTCTGCTTGATATACCAGGAAATTCAATTTCAAATCACCAGTCGTAAATATGATTTCTCTTCTTTATCAACCTCCCCCACGCATATAACTTGTCTGAAAATCTGAATATGATGTATCGTTTTTAAGCTTTACGTGTACGGTACATTAAAGGGATAAGTTTGAAATTAACCTCTCAATTTCCAGTCTGCTTAGCCTATACACTTTTTGATGAGTTCGATATCCTCGAATTTTTAAATTGATAAATAGAATTTTTGAATAATTGATGGCACAGTTTTGTCCAACAAGGAACCAATGCCCATTGTGAACCTTATTCATGAATCACATTTCAAATACTTAGGCCTAATGTCATTCAGTTTGTTGAAAATTATTTTTACATGATTAGTTTAGTAATCCTGTACGTCAAAGAACTTGTTTGGAAAAAAAATAGTCTGGCAGTTGTTGATCATAAGTAATAGCTCAATCGTCTGCTATCCCCATGGGACTGATCCATATTACAGAGGCAAAGGCCACACCATGTCACTCTAACTCTTAGCTATTATGTGAGAGGAAAAAACAACCAGTAACAATCAATGGGGACTTTTCAAACATTAACTTAGTTATGTTATGCTTTAACCAAATCATCCATTAAAAATTGAGACTTCAGGATAATGTTACCGTGAACATTACTAATGCAGCATGACTCTTGTAGAAAGTATGACACCCTAGAGAACATTCCTACGATCAACAGATGATTCTATGACAAATGGAACTATTTTTGGGAGTGTAAATTTCGAACACGACTTCTTGATTTCCTGTAAAGGTATACATTGCAATTTTAAAGCTCAAGTGCATAGAACTATACTGACAAAAGCCTCTGAGTCTTAGCCGAGGATTTCTTAGATTCTAAAAAAATAATTATAATAATAATAATAATGAACTGTAATGTGGATACCCAATTATTGCAAAGAATCAACCACTCTCGACTGTGCTCTTTGTTTTCTAATCTCTATGTTAAAGTTCGAGTGGAATACATGAATGAAATAGAATTAATTTGCGACGATTGGAGTTACTGTTAATCAATGTCTTTTCTCATTGTTCCATTAAAGTTGTCTGTACGAATATACTGGCACACGATAAGTCGTTTAAAATATAGAACTAGATAGAAATGGTTCAATCAGTTTCGCAGATAAGTGTTCTCGGATATAAGAGTTGGAATCTACGCTGTTATATATTTGTCCAAAAGGTGACGGACCATGCGGAACCCGATTCATTTTATCCAGCCGGTTCTCATAGCCGCGGGGCAGGCAGATGTGCCATCCCCCCGCAGGTGCAAGATATATACCGCCGCAATTATTGCCAAATTATCCTCGACCTGGCTGGATTGCGCCTCCGCTGGCACCAAAACCGAAACCAAATCTGGAGGGTAATTTTTATTTTGGTATGTCCTTAAAGCCGGACGAATCCTGATCGTGTAAACCGAGCTGAGATAAAAATTTCATAATTGGCCAATGGGGAAAATGTGGAAGATTTCATTCCATATCTCTTGTTGCTTTGTGTTGTCATTATGCGGGCATTCAGTATTTTATCGTAAAAAATAGACCTACATGAGTCAGTTGTTTACCTTGAACCAGTGTACATATTTATTGCTTTATCTTGTCCATATAAAAACCAACCAAGAGAATTGTGGAAGCCTTGAAAACATCCACCAACGTGGTGAATCACACGGGAATACTGATAACCCTATTATTTGTTTGTTATCGTTGCTAAAACTTGCATCCTATGCATGCGGACCACAATTCAGTTCCTGCGTTGGCGGTGCCGTGGAGATTTTCCAAAAATGGCCGGAACAGAAACAGACAATTGAAAACAGCAACCGACTTTTAAGTTAAAAGAGAATTATTATTGTATTCATAGTCTACTCTTTGCTAATGGGATAAGTGCAATCTTAAAGGGTTTCTCAGTGACATAATAAAACAGTTTTGAAAAGAACTATAACGGATTTAATTTTAATACAAGATAAGACATATCAGGATGTTTTGTAGATACATTCACACGCAAATATTAAGGGAATAACACAAAGAAACACAAAAAAACTATACAATAATATCAACAATTTGAGAAAAATTCTCTTGCAAATCATAACTGACGAGACCCCAGCCAATATATTTCATGTAGCATCATTGTCCCCAATTCTTGATAGTTTTTGTTGTAACTGCCCGTAATGGTTCTTCCTCTTTTCTGGCATGGAAAGAGGAAGCCAGATAAAAGCCTTTAATAGTGCAGCCTTCCACGGTCACTTATCATCTAATACATCTAATATCTGTATTGCTGCCTCGTTAGCAGCCTTCCGCTAAACAACGTTATCTACGTCCAGAGAATTTCCTGTTGTACACACACGGGCTGTGTGCGCGGGCTGCCTGCACATTATTGTACTGCAGTATAACAAAGACCGGGCAGCTTGGGCTAGGGTACGCTACCCCCCCCCCCCCCCATGATAATAAGTACGACCCCTTCACAACAAAGGCACTTAGTCCTTTCCCTACAAGCTTGTTCAATCTTGTAATGAAGTTCACCTCTTTGTTGTGTTTTCAACCCCCGGATGCTCAACAACAAAGCAACCATGTTTTTTTTATAAGAGCGTATAATTGATTGAGCACCTGTCGATGTGGTCCGTGTTTGCTTAATAGCAACATCTGGCGCGTCTTTTTCGCATAAACTTTTATCCATATTTTGTCACCCGATATGTGTGTTAAAATATTAGTGCAGTCTGCAAAGCAAAAGGTACAAAGTCGAACTTTGTAATATGAAAAATATGGTTGTCTACAAAGCAGGATAAACTTGATATCACGAAACAAGAAAATCCGAAACTAGCATGATGTATCTGCGTAAGTCCTTTACTTGCGTACATCCGATAGCTTCGGGGGATACCCCCCCCCCCCCCCCCGGGCCAAAAATTCACTCTATTTATAAAATATCTCTTTGTTGTCTTCTATATGCATCTAGGACTGACTTTCATAGCAAATTTCTCTTCACTTTGGTCTTTCTTTCCCATTTTATCTTTCTTCTTCTTTTTTTCTTTCCGGTTTTGCAAATTGAATTGCAAATCCGAGAAACAAATCTACTTTATTCAGGTCTTTTCAGCTCCGCCTTTTAACGTGCAATTCTGGTCGAGTCCATTTTTATCAGAAAATGAAACTAAATTTCACTTCACGTATTTCAACATCATCACCATGTGCACGTTCAGGACAAGAGATTTACGTCACTATGAAACTAACACATCCACAATAAATTTCGCATTGTGAAAGTATACACGACGTATTGGTTTTGCTAATATTGAAACCGGAATTTTTGGCATTTCGCTTTCTGTGTGGAATGCTGTGCTTAGCACCATATAAAAACAAAAGAATTGTTTGCAGTCATTACGAAACATGTCGTGTAGCGAGAACTTAAAACCAAAGCTTGTGCAATTGGCCTTGTCCATTGGCAACTCCACTTTGTTTTTCCGACAGCAGTATCTCTAGTGTCTTAGTTCTTTCCTTTAGTACGATTTGAGAACTGGTGGACTATATCTCACAATTTGTGAGCGTGGTCGTGGGGTGATTGAACCCAGCAAATTAAACACAATGCTGATATCGAGTTACGCGGAATCGCCCTATGGGTTGTTTGGGTGTGTGTGTAATCAATGTTGCCTACGTGACATGGATGAATGTGCTTTCGATAATGCGTCGCCAGCAAAAAAAAGCAAAGGCTTAATGAAGTTCATAATTTCCCTCCAATTTGACGAGAATTGACATATTGTTGCCGAAAAGTGAGCCATGTTCAAATGTCAAAGGGTCGGTTGATGGAGGGTATAAT